ATCTTGGTACCTCCTATCATTATGATGAACTTGTCCCTCCCTCCAAGCAATCAACACGTGTTTGTTAAAAAACCTACTACATGTCAGGTATCATGTGTGGCAGTGGAGTTAGGACAATGAATGAAAAAGTCATCACTCACAAGGAGCTCACATGTTCATGGGGGAGGCAAGAATAACATATATTAGTATATATAGAATAAGTCAAATAAAAATACCAGGGAAAAAGCAAGTAATTAAATATAAGGTAGTTGGAGAAGAAAGCAGTTGAAGAAATAGCAGTTGAGATAAAAAAAATTGGGTGGTACAGTGGTTAGAGCACTGGGCTTGAAGTCAGGAAAACCAGAGTTCAAATCTGACCTCAGACACTTAATAGTTGTGTGACCGTAGACAACTCACTTAACCCCTATTTGCCTTAGCTTCCTCTTGTAAAATGGGGATAATAATAGTACTTACCTCATAGCATTATTGTGAGGACCAAATGAGATAATTGTAACGTGCTTAGCACAGTCTCTGACACAAAGTAAGTGCTATACAGTATTATTATTATTATTATTATTATTATTATTGGTTCTTGAGCTGCATATTGAAGGGAGAAAGGAATTCTGTGAAGCAGATGTGAAAAGGAAGTGAATTCTAGGCATAAGAAACAAATCAGCACAAAAATACAGAGACAGGAAAGAAATAGAATATTATGAGTAACGGATAGGAGGCAAATTTAGTTGGATTGCAGAGTGCAGGTGAGGAAGTTACAATGAGGCTGGAAATACAGATTAGGACAAGTTCAGAGACAATAAGAAGCCATTGGAGTTTACTGAATAGGGGAATCATCTGGTTGCTTCTGTGCTTAAGAAAAACCACCTTAGCAGCAAAGTGTAGGATGGACTGAAGTGGGAAAAGACATGAGGCAAGTGAACAAATTCAGAGACCATGGCAATAATCAAGTCAAGATGTAAAAGAAAGCCTAAACTAAGGTGATAGTTATGTGAGCAGAGAATTGTGGATATTTACAAGAAATGCTATAAAAGTAGAAACAGCAAGGTTTGACCACTGATTAGATATATAGGATGAGAGAGTGTGGAGTCAAGGATTTGCAACTGAGTTGATAAACCTGGGAGAATAGAACAATGGTGATGCCTTTGACCCAAATGAGTGCTGACATGAGTGATAGACATCATAAGTGCTAGAGCAATTGAGATCAGGAGGTATCAGAGTAGCTAGAAATGATTTTCTGGAAGAGATGAGATTTGAACTGAGCTCTGAGGGATGAGTTGTTTTTGTAGAGGGTAGACATCCTAAATGGTCAATGTTCCCAAGTCACTAGAGAGTGTTAAACATTGAAACCAAGTTTGACTCTCTGAGGACCACAATTCTGAAGATGCCTTCTGATTGGCAACAATTAGTTATTCTGGACATGACCCTCCAATCAGCTGTGAATCTTCTATATAGTTGTGTAGTTTACATATTTTTTTTAGGTGACAGGTGATTATATTACACAGAAACAAATCAAAATCCTTGATAAAATCTTAAAGAGACTATCTCTCATTCTCCCATGATCTGTCAATCTGCCATAGAAAGAAGCTAGCCTAGCCTAATAATTTTGTTAAATTCAGTTTCATTCTATCCAACAAGTATTTATAAAGTGTCTACTATATGCCAGGTACTGTATTATTGAGCTAAGTATATAAGGGAGAAAATATGAAGCAGCCCACAAGGACTTTTTAAAGAAGTTGCCCTCATAATAATCTTGTTATTTCTGAGAGGTTTGCCCTTCAAATTTATATAGTATGCTAGGTGAAGTGTAGATGTCATGAGAAAGAAAAGGTTGTGATTCAAAGTGATATGATCAGATGTGAGAAAACAGTATACACAATGACTATAACAACATAAATGCAAATAAACACAAATCAAACAGAAATGATTTTTTTTGAAATATAAAGAACAAGCTTGGCCTCAAATAGAAGATGTGAAAAGACATGTCCCCTTCTGCCTTTGGAGAGGTGGAAGGAGGGTGTGAAACCCATTCATGGATGCGAAGCATTGCTATAATGGAATATTTTTTCAATGTGTTGATTAGATTTGCTGAATTTTTTTCACTTCCTCTTTTTCCTTTCTCTTTTAAAAAAGTTCATTGGTGTAAGGAATGGTTCTCTGGGAAAGGGAGGAAATCTAAGCAATTCAAAAATAAAATATATCAATAAATATCTACGATTTTTAAAGAAAGGGTTTTGAATATTCTTTTTATTAATCTATTTTGTCTCTTGAGTTTCAGCCAACTCTAAAAGCTTATGATTTTCAGATTAAGGTTCTTAAAAATTAGGCCTATTTTTGCTTTTTCTTTGTACCCCCAGGACTTAGCATTGTGCCTGGCACGTAATAAGTGCTTAATAAATGCTTTATATTGATATTTCCTTTATTAAACACAGACAATATTCTGGGAGGAGGATATTAGTTTTATATTCGTCTGGTATGATAGATATACCACAAAACAACTCACTTTGAGGACAGTCAGTTGCTTTCTTGTCTATAAGCCTTAATAAAGTCAAATAGGAAATGTTTCTCATTTTCCTATATGCATGTTCAGGAAGCTGGTCTATCCTCAATTTCCCTTGCAGAGACACTATAAACTATTAGTGAAAAATGTCATAACAATACTGGTTTTGCTGTCACCCTGTGACTCACCATGGGTCCATGTAATGATGGGCATTTTTGGAATCTTTCTTATTCTCTCAGCCATACAATAATATCTGTCCCTTTGCCCAACCAGAGCAGTCATTTTCCCTAAAACTTTGAATAAGACTTTTCAATTTTCCTTTTCCAGTGGATTCCTATTTATTTCTCTCTAAGCTCTGCTGCAACTGTAAATACTCATTGTGGTAATTACTGACTCAAGGTATTCTACCCTTAGCTAACTTCTTGATAGACTTTAGCCTGCCAGCTAATAGAAAATAGTTTCTATATGTCTAACACTTTCTTTCATTTAGGGGTTGTACTATTTTTGATAAGCAGATAGTTCTTATATATCCTGATGAAAGAATGGGACCTTCTCTTGTTCTCCATTTGGCCCCTCACCCCACCACCAGATATTCTCATGTCAGACACATCAATCTTTTGAAATGAAGATAAGCAATTGTGAACATCTTATGATTATAGCCACTTTCCTAAGGGTATGCTTTTTAGTATTCCATAAAAATGGAAAGAAGTTCATAAAATGTAAAAATTTCCCCATCCTTTAGTGTGGAAGAGAGGAGGATACACTATAAATTTCATTGTTGTTTTGTCCCCTAGACTAGTACTCAGAAATTGACTTTACTGTATTATTGGAATTAAGAAGTTAAGGACCCTCTATTTAGATGGACAGGTGTCCTTAATAATTGCAAATCCCAATGAAGATATATATCCAGTCTCACTGGTCTACTTAACACTATGAAACAAGTGATAAGGAGAGCAAAATCAGAGTTACAATGGATTTACCACATGAGTATTCTCTTCTATGATGGAAAATATGATGCATGTCACCAAAGTAAATGGATTATAATAATCTTTTGTTTTACAGTGTCCTCTTAATCTGTTACTTCACCAATTCAATTCTATAAATATTTAAAAGTATCTATTCTGTGCAAAGCACCAGTACAGAGCAAGAATCTTACAATATTATAGAAGAGTATAATATATACAAAAATAAGTTTTAAATAAACAGTAGCACTAGGGGGACAAAAGAGGGATTGCAAAAAAAAGTACTTTAAGAAAATTTGAAGATAGATAGGTTTTAATTTAAGGCATGGGGAATAGTCTAGGAAAGGTTAATGAGAAGGTAATATCAAAACTGAATCTTAAAGAAAGAAAATTTCAACAGGCACCATTAAGGAAGGTGTACATTCCAGTCATGAGGAATGCCCTGGACATAAGGTGGAAGGAGATAGGAATAGTCTAGAGAATGGCTGGCTAGTAAGTCAGTTTGACCAACTAGATTACGTGAAGTGGAGTAATATGAAATAAAACTGGAAAAGTAGGTTGGAGCTAGATTGTAGATAGCCTTATGTATCTAGTGCCAGGATAAGGACTCTATTTTTATTTTGTTTATTTTAAGGGTTTATATTCCTTTAGGTAATGGGGAGCCATTGAAGGTATTTCAGTAGGGGAATAATACAGTCAAATCTTTATCAGAAAAAAAAATTCACAGATATGTGAACAATGGACTGGAGATGTTAAAATATGGTGGGCACTTGTATAACTGTGCATTCTATTTAAGAACCTTTTTTCTATTTGCATTATGCAACACATTAAAATGAGCATGATGTATTGAGGGGAAAAATCACTGGTTTTGGAGTCAGAATAGTTGAGTTCAAGTACTAACTAAACTACTTACTTCTGTGTGATTTTGGAATATCCTTTATTCCCTCTAAAACTTGATTTTTTTCTCTCAGTTCTAAAAATGAGGACAAGAATATTCATACTACCCACCTCACAGGATTGTTGCAAAAATCAAATGCATTATTCATTGAAAGTGCTATGTTATATCAGTTATTACTATTACAAAGTGCTGATGTTTATTATTGCCACAAAATACTCCAGTTCTGAATTTTTCCCTCATGACCTCTTTCAGGTGATCAGATACTGTAAGCTCAATTTTTATGTCGGGGTTGTGGTGTAATTCTAAGTTATGAATTGATTGGCGCTGTATCTCGTGGAACACTCACTGTTGATTCATCACTGCCATTCTATATTTCCACACCTCCAATCAACTGCTTTAGATTGTCTGTCTCAAACTGATTGCACACACAAGCTCAGGTCAGAGAAAAAACAGCAAAATATTTGTTTGTCAAAATGATCAACACCACTCAAATCAAATCACAACACACGGAAATCAAGGCCCAGGATTGCAGATTCCCTTCTGAGCAATGAACAGTGCGGGGAATTGCCTACCTTTGAACTACTTCCCCAACCAGATCCTGTTCCATTGCCTTGTGCCTCCTCTCTAAAGCTCTTCTGTTTTGTTTCAGTTGGCAGGGTTCATCTACGCCTGTTATGTTGTGAAATGTATTACTGAAGAAGAGGACAGCTGTAAGTATTAAAGCTCTATTGCATTTCTTTCAAGTTAAAAGCAGCTTTTACAATGCCTCCTACCTTGTCTTCTTACTTCTTAGACGTTAGCCCAAATATATCATTAGAACAAGACATGAGTCTTTTGTCTCCAACAGACCTGAAGAGTTTCTCATAAAAGGATCCAGTCTAGCATATTACTAAAGTGTGCTTTTACCCATTCAGGAGGCATAAGGCTAAAAAGCAGGAGGAAAGGGATGGTAAGTGTGAAAGGGATTGGGAAGAGAGGGGAAAAAAAAGTTGAGAAAAGCTGTCCCCTGTAATGGTTTTCTCATTTTTTACTGATCATTAACTCTTCTTGAATAATTACCTGCATCTGGAGCTAAAATTCTTATCAGTAACATCCATTCTACAATATTCCCTCTCCAATGGCTTCTCCCCATATGTTCACAAGCATAATCAACTGAACCCAATATGAAAAAACTTCCTCCTAACCCTGCTACCCCCATCCAGCTACTGTCCCATCTCTCTTCGTCCCATTCACTTCTAAGTTAAATGAAAAAGTTTTCTGCACTCATCCATCACGTCCTCACCACCCACTCTCTCTTCAAGAAACCAAACTCTTGGAGATTTAAGATTATTTCTATTTCATCTGTTGTGTTTGTATCCCTACTGCCTAGAATGGTTCAAGCACATAGTAAGTGCTTGATAAAGTTTGTTGATTGATTGATTAAATCCTTGCAATCTGGCTTCCATTCCTACCACTGTACTGAGAAGGCTTTTTCCAGTGATCTCCTAAAGTAATGAGCTTTTCTCAGTCCTCTTTCTCCTTGGCTATTAATAGCATTGGATATTGTTGATTAACCCTCCATCTGGATATTCATTTCTCTCTTGGTTTCAGAGACATCACATACTCTTGGATCTTCTCCAAAGTTCTCCCTAACTACTGCTCCGTTGCTTTGCTGGTTGCCTCTTCCCAATAACATAAGATGGATGTTCACCAAGACTCAGTTTATTGCCTTCTTTTTTTCTCTCTTTACACACTCCCATTAGCAATTTTCATTCATAACTATGCTTTTAAATATTACCTCTACACAAATGATTGCCAAATCTACATTTCTTGTTCTGTTCTTTTGGGGTCCAAGATTTCAGAATTTCATAGTGGGAAGAGACTTCAGAAATGACAGTAATCCACGTAATGACAGTCCTAACAAGTGGCCATCCGCCTTTCACTAGGAGCTCTCAAGAAATAGGGAATCCACTACCTCTTGAGGTAATCCCCTCAATTGTTAAGTGATTTCATTGTCAAGGTTTTCCTTGCATCAAGCTTAAACCTCCTCCCCTGGAACTTCCATGCTTTGTTTCACCATTTTATTCTCTTCTAAGATAAACAGCTCAAGTTCCCTCAATTAGTCTTCACATGGAAATGTCTGTAGTTATGCTTCCTAAGGGCACTTTCTTGAGTGATAATGTTGTTCCTATAATGTGGCATTCTGATTGAACACAGTATTCCAGATGAGGTCTGACCAAGGTAGAGTATACAACAGGACCACAACCTCCCTTTTCCTATACATTAATACTCTGTTAATACAGCCTAAGATCATTAGCTACCATATCCCAATGTCAACCCATACTGAGTGTGAAGTCCAATAAAATACCCATACCTTTTTTCAGAAAAAAAAAATGCAGTCAAGACATAGCCCTCCAATCTTGAATTTGTGGCATTGAACCCAAGTATAGGATTTTACATTTAACTCTACTAAGTATTATTACTACTACTAAAGTATTACTTTACTGCTCATAGTAATGCTACTCAGGTTTTATTGTACTAAGTATTAATACTACTAAATTTCATCTTATTAGATGTGGTTCATTCTTCTGGTTTGTCAAGAACTTTTTGGATCCTATCATTGACAAGTAAGCATTCCTTCCCAGCTTTGTGTCCTTTGGAAATTTGATAGATAAGACAGCATATGTTTTTATCCAAATCACTGAAAAACTGTTGAGTAGTATGGGACCAAGGACAAATGGTTTTAGCCCCACATTAGGATCTGTCTTTCATCATTTCATTTCATTACTCCTTGGTTATGTTAATTCAATGAATTATGAATCCAATCTAGTCCTGCAGCCCTTCTCATATTATCCCTTATCTTGCCAAGATCTATAACATTGACTATCACTGTTAGCCAATCCTTCTAGTATCCTGGGATAGAGATTGTTAGGGCTGAGTGTTTTGAACTCATTGAGGACATCCTCTCTTATTTTCTCCTTGTGTCTAGGGTATCCACTCCCAATTAACCATTTTGATCTGTCCTTTCTAGCCTGAGGGTCTTCCTTTTGTTCTAAATATAACTAAAAGATCTCTTTTTTTTTTACTGTGTGTTTTTCATAGCATTCATCACCAGTCAAAACTCATTCTGATCCTGAGTGCTCCTAATGCTATTCTTAGAAGCTCTTGCCCTGTTTTTGTATTTACTTCAGATTTGTACATAGGATAGGTCATCTCCACCTGGATGTCCCATCTCAAACTCAACATGCCAAAAATTAGAATCCTTCAACTTTGCTCTTTCTCCTGAAAACTATTTTCAAAAATTAATTTATTTATTTTTAGTTTTCAAAATTCACTTCCATAAGATTTTGAGTTCTAAATTTTCACCCCCTCCCTCCCCTCCCCTTCCCCAAAATGGCATGCAATCTGATATAGGTTCTACATATCCATTCATACTAAACATATTTTCACATTAGTCAGGTTGTAAAGAAGAATTAGAACCAATGGGAAAAACTATAAGAAAGAAGAGAGAGAGAGAGAGAGAGAGAGAGAGAGAGAGAGAGAGAGAATAGTATGTTTTGATCTGCATTCAGACTCCATAGTTCTTTTTCTGGAAGTGGATAACATTTTCCATTAGGGGTCTTTTGGAGTTGTCTTAGATCCTTGCATTGCTGAGAAGAGCTAAGTCCTGACAACTATTTTAATGATTGGTGTTTCCATGTATTCATTCATTGAACCTCACTCCATTCATTCATTCATTCATTGATCCTCAGCATTATCTTTGACTTTTCCCCCATCTCATTTTTCATAGCCAACTTTTCAGGCTCTAGAATCTAGACCTATAGATTTTACCTTTAAATATCTCTTGCCTCTATCCCCTTTACCCGTAATCACCATTGCTACCATCCAAGCATAGGTCCCCATTTTTACCAAAATGAACTTTATGAGAGCCTCCTAATATATCTCCCTGCCTCTACTCTCTGCACCCTCTGACCTTCCTTCATACCACAGAAAAACTGAGGTTTCTCATGCTTAGATTTTGTTGTGCCATGCCTCTCCTCAAAATCTTCAGTGGTTCCCTATTGCCATCTGAATACAGTTTAAATTCTATATTTATCATTCAAGAACCTTCACATCCTGGTGCCATCTTACCTTTCTAACCTTAACTCATACTACTCTCCAAGTTTCTACTTCTGCCAAACTAGACAACTCACTAGCCCCTGAGCATGACTTGTGCTTTTATTCACAATATTCCCAGTCCTAGAAGGGCCTCCTTTTCCTGTTCTTTGGAATTCTCATTCTTTCATTAAAGTTTTCCAGGAATGAGGCCTTACCCCATCTCTCCAGAAGGCTATGGTCCTCATTCTCTTGTAAATCTCTTATAGACTTATCACATATTAATTTGTCCTAAATTTATATGTATATATATGTATTATATTGCCCTTCCATACTGTAGGCTATAAGGGAAAGAGGTATGAATTTTCAAAATATCATATCACCCCCAGCACCTAACCTTATGCTTTATAGCACTAGGAAACTGCACTATAGAAAGTAGTTTTAAAATATTTGTCAGATTGAAAACTATGAAATGGTATCAAAAATTACCTTAAGCTCTGGCTTCAGATCATTGCAGAGACTGTTTTATGAGATTCATACCCTATGTTTCTTTCGATTTCTAATGTTCTTCACTTACATGTTACAATGTTCAAATCATAACAATATCCATCCACATCAAGATCCATTCTCAGGCTCACACATTAGAGGTAAAGGTTTAATAACATTTAGAAATAGAAAGGACCTCAGAGATCAAAATAGTTAAAACCCACTTAGAGAAACCTTACCAAGATTTTCTACTGGAATGGAAAAATCATTCCCTAACCCTTCTAGTCATGTCAGGTGAAAAGTTTGTTGTATCCTATTGATTAGAAATGAATAAATGAAGTATGATATTTGATTTTCTTCCTCCTTACTCTACTTAGTACTAGCCTACTAGAGAAGGATTTACTTTGAGATATCAGAGTAAGGAGTTACTTTGTTTAATGATTTGAAAGTGAGGAGATAAAAGAATAATTCATTCTTCACCCTAGAGATCTCATGGACTAGTGCGTAGAATAGTAGACTTGGGGGCAGGATGACCTAAGCTCAAATACTGCATTTGATAGTTACTAACTGTGTAAACATGGCACAATCTCACTGAACCTCAGTTTCCTCATCTGTAAAATTGGGTGGGATGGACAAAATCCTCTAACGTCCCTTCCAGCTATAAATATGATATATGATACATGATCTGGTTTTAAGATCATGGAGGATAAACGGGGAAAGTGAAGGGAATTAAAAAAAGTATATATCTCTTCACATCTGTATTGTCAGTTCATTATATGTAATATATAAATATACGGACATAAGTGTGAATGTACATATGTACATAAATGTTTACTATATATACATATATATAGCGTGTGCTCATTGTCAGTCATTTTTCAGTCATGTCTGACACTGTGACCTCATTTTTAAAATTATGTTACTTTACTGTATGGGGAGTGTTTTAAATTCCCTGTAGAATCTCAGCTGGAAAGAATTTCTAGGAATATATTTAAAGCCTAGATTTGTAACAGGTTTGGTTTCTATGCTTTAAAATTTGTATTCCTTAACTTAATTGATGACAGCATTTTCTTTGCTTATTTGGGTAGCATAGATATATCAAGGGTTATAAAGGAAAGGGGGTTCAAAGAAGTTTGATAATTGCTGAATT